AAGCCATTTTAACTGGGGCGAGATGATATCTCATTGTTTTGATTTGCATTTCTCTAATGATCAATGATGCTGAGCACCTTTTAATATGCCTGTTTGTCATTTATATGTCTCCTTTTGAGAAACATCTATTCAAATCTTGTGCCTATTTTTGATTGGGTTATTAGACTTCTTACTATAGAGTTGTTTTAGCTTCTTATATATATTATGGTTCTTAATCTCTTGTCAGATGGATAGCTTGTAAACTTTTTCTCCTATTCTGTGGTTGGCTCTTCACTTTTTTGATTGCTTCCTTTGCTGTATAGAAGCTTTTAAACTTGATGTGATCCCATTTGTCCATTTTTGCTTTGATTGCCTGTGCATTAAAGTGGGTGCACAGGGGTATTACAAGTGGGGTATTACTCACGAAATCTTTGCCCAGACTCACATTGTGGAGAGTTTCCCAAATGTTTTCTTGTAGTAGTTTCATAGTTTGAGGTCTTAGACTTGTCTTTAATCCATTTTGATTTGCTTTTTCTATATGGTGAGAGATTGAAGTCTAGTTTCATTCTCTTGCATATGGGTAGCCAATTTTTCCAGCATTATTTATTGAAGAGACTCTTTTCCCTAGTGTCAATTGATGACACTTTTGCTGAAAATGAATTCACTGCAGGTATGTGGATTTATTTCAGGGTTCTGTATTCCTTTCGTTGGTCTATGTGTCTCTTTTTATGCCAGTGCCACCTTGTTTTGATTACTATAGCTGTGTAGTATAATTTGAGGTCAGGTAATGGAATTCTTTCAGTTTTGTTCTTTTTGCTTAAGATAGCTTTGGCCATTGTGGGTCTTTTGAGGTTTAATATAAATTTAAGGATTGTTTTTTCTATTTCTGTGAGAAATGTCATTGGTGTTTTGATAGGGATTGCATTGAATCTGTAGATTGCTTTGGGTAGTATGGAAATTTTAACACTGCTGATTTTTCTAATCCATGAGCATGAAATATCTTTCCATTTTTGGTGTCTTCTTCAATTTCTTTCTTCAGTAATTTTATAGCTTTCATTATAAAGATCTTTCACTTGTTTGGTTAATTCTTATGTATTTAGGTGTGGCTATTGTAAATGGGATTATTTTTAATTTTTTTTCAGGGTGTTCACTGTTGGCATATAGAAATATTATTGTTTTTTTATGTTGATTTGTATCCTCCAACTTTACTGAACTGGTTTTTCAGTTATTATAGTTTTTCAGTGGAGTCCTTAGGTTTTTCAAAATATAAGATCGTATCATCAGCTAACAAGAATAATTTGACTTCTTCTATTCAATTTTTGATACCCTTTATTTCTTTCTCTTGTCTGATTGCTCTAGCTAGGACTTCCAGTACAATGCTGAATAAGAGTAGTGAAAGTGGGCATCCTTGCCATTTTCCAGATCTCTCAGGAAAAGCTTTCACTTTTCCCCCATTCAGTATGATACTGAGTGTCTGTTATATATAGTTTTTATTATATTAAGATATGTTTCTTCTACATCCAGTTTATTAAGCGGTTTTTATTTATTTATTTATCTTTGTTTTTTTTATTTTTTTTTTTTTTTTTTGAGACGGAATCTCGCTCTGTCGCCCAGGCTGGAGTGCAGTGGCACAATGTGGGCTCACTGTAAGCTCCGCCTCCCGGGTTCACGCCATTCTCCGGCCTCAGCCTCCGGAGTACCTGGGACTACAGGTGCCCGCCACCATGCCTGGCTAATTTTTTGTATTTTTAGTAGAGACGGGGTTTCACCGTGTTAGCCAGGATGGTCTCGATCTCCTGGTGTCGTGATCCACCCGCCTTGGCCTCCCAAAGTGCTGGGATTACAGGCGTGAGTCACCGCGCCCGGCCATTTGTTTGTTTTTTACACACCACTTTTATTGGCCATTCCTAGCTCCAAGAGGGTCTGTGTTGATGTTGTTATTGTTTTCTAATAAGGAAAAAGAGGACAACTGAGGTTAGGAGACAAGTAGCCACCTGTGCACAGGGTCAGACATAAAGTCAAATGATCACTGATCCAGCTCTGGTGATCAGCCTCTCTGAAAAATCACCAAACTTAACCCCAAATCCTGAGGACTCCATACCTAAAACCCCCTAAAATGAGATCAATGAAAATGAGCAGGGAGCAAAATTGGGACCCATGAGAATGTATCCAGTAGGATCATGATCAGTCAAGCAAATGGGTTTAACTTGGGTTTCCTGGACTTGGTTTTCTTTCATTATTATTATTATTATTATAATACTTTAAGTTCTGGGATACATGTGCAGAACGTGCAGGTTTGTTACATAGGTATACACGTGCTATGGTGGTTTGCTGCACCCATCAACCCGTCATCTACATTAGGCATTTCTCCTAATGCTATCCGTCCCCTAGCCCCTCATCCCCGACAGGCCCTGATGTGTGATGTTCTCCTCCCTGTGTCCATGTGTTTTCATTGTTCAACTCCCACTTATAAGTGAGAACATGTGGTGTTTGGTTTTCTGTTCCTGTGTTAGTTTGCTGAGAATGATGGTTTCCAGCTTCATCCATGTCCCTGCAAAGGACATGAACTCATCCTTTTTATGGCTGCATAGTATTCTATGGTATACATGAGCCACATTTTCTTTATCCAATCTACCACTGATAGGCATTTGGGTTGGTTTCAAGTCTTTGCTACTGTGAATAGTGCTACAATAAACATACATGTGCGTGTGTCTTTATAGTAGAATGATTTATAATTCTTTGGGTATATTCCCAGTAATGGGATTGCTGGGTGAAATGGTATTTCTGGTTCTAGATCCTTGAGGAATTGCCACACTGTCTTCCACAACTGTTGAACTAATTTGTACATACCAAAACAGATATATAGACAAATGGAACAAAACAGAGGCCTCAGAATTAATTCCACACATCTACAACCATCTGATCTTTGACAAACCTGACAAAGCAAGCAACAGAGAAAAGATTCCCCATTTAATAAATGGTGTTGGGAAAACTGGCTAGCCATATGCAGAAAACTGAAACTGGATTCCTTCCTTATACCTTATACAAAAATTAACTCAAAATGGATTGAGGACTTAAATATAAGACCTGAAACCATAAAAACCCTAGAAGAAAATGTAGGCAATACCATTCAGGACATAGGCATGAGCAAAGACTTCTTTAGCATTTCTTTAATAGAGTAGCACTGATAAGTATCTGTCTGTTTTTTTTCCAACTGTATTTCCTTCTGCTCTATTATTTTTTCTCTCTCTACGATTTCAAATATTTGTAAATTAATTATTGAGAAAATAATAATAGTAATAATAATAATTATTATTACTTGAGACAGAGTCTCACTCAGTTTCCTAGGCTGGAGTGCAGTGGTGTAATCTCCGTTCACTGAAACTTCTGCCTCATGGGTTCAAGCAATTCTCCCATCTCAGCCTCCTGAGTAGCTGGGGCTACAGGTGTACACCACCAAGCCTGGGTAATTTTTGTATTTTTAGTAGAGGCAGAGGTTTACCATGTTGGCCAGGCTGGTCTCAAACTCCCGACCTCAAGTGATCCGCCCACCTCGGCCTCCCAAAGTGCTAGAATTACACGCATGAGCCACCGCACCCAGCTGAGATAATGATTTTTTAATCAAATAATTAAGTTTTCTTTCTGTTCTCTATATATTGATGTATGATATATATTGTCATTGAAATTTTGATTGTACTCACCATGGGATATCTTACTATGGGATAGGCAGCATCTCAAATACAATTTATTCCCTTTAGCAAAAGGAGGATTATTTTGTTGTGAATTCAAACCTTCATTAACTTTAGTGTAACATTTTGCCATAAGTGATGTGTCCTGTTATTAAATCACAAATAGTATTAGGAACGAGAGGCTTAGGCAGGAAAATGGCTTGAGCTCATGGGTTTGAGGCCAGTTTGAGTGACAAAGCGAGACCTCTTGTGGAAAAAAAAGAGAAACTTTTAAATGCAGTATATTTAAAACATATATTTCTAGACATTTATTACTGGTATAAGAAAATCATATTTATTATCTAATATTATAAACTGACATGATCACTATCATTTCTTTAGTTTTTAAAAATTTTCAGCATTTGTGTGATTATGTCATATGTATTTATCGATTGACATAGACCTTAATGTCTTATAATACAGAAGTGGACATCTATATATTATAATTTAATTAAAAAATGAAAGAACTTCCACTTAGAATACCACCATAGCTGTTGCTATAAATTCAGAAATAAACAAAAAGTTAACTAAAAATTCGTGTGTATGATGACATCGGAGAGCTACAGAAGACACGAAGATCAGATTAACTAAAATTCTAGAGAAAAAGAGACCTCTGTAGGTGAGGTAAATCTGAGCTCTCATTTAGGTTTGTGTGTGTGTGTGTGTGTGTGTGTGTGTGTGTGTGTAGTTTCCACGGAATTTATTTAATCAGAACAGCAGAAGGTTCTAGAAAAACACATTTTTAACCAAGGACTGCAGATGATTCTAAGTTTTGAGTAAAAGCGTGGTTGGTGGAAACAATTTTAAACTTTATTGTGTGTCTGGTTACCTATATGATAAAACTAAAAGCCATGTAATGGAATAAAACATTACCTTATATATTAGTAGATACCTAAATGCAATATGGTCTTAAAAATGAAATCACATGTATATAGTTGTATTTCTAAGTATATTAGTCCCCCCTTATCCAAAAATCCCCTTTCTGTGGTTTCAGTTAACTATAGTCTACCATAGTCTAAAACACATGAGTACTGTACAAGAAGATATTTTGAGAGCAAGAGAGACCGACCAAATTCACAAAAATTTTATTACAGTATGTTGTTAACATTGTTCTATTTTATTATTGTTATTAATCTCTTGCTATGCCTAATTTACAAATTACACTTTATTATAGGTATGTATATATAGGAAAAACAGTGTATAAAGGGTTTGGCATTATCTGAGGTTTCAGGAGTCCACTGGGTGTCTTGGAACACATCCCCTGAGGATAAGGGGGAACTACTCTACCCAAAACTGAAGCTATACAACAATGAAAAATATTGAGAAGACAAATCCAAGTATAAGTGAAGACATTTCTTTGAATTCCCAGGTTTCATCAAGCATCAAAAACTGCCAATCTTGTTGCCCTTTTCTTGTATGTTATTTTGTACCCACATTCTCTGAATCTGATTGGATCCCTGTATTTTATTTCATTTTCTGTGTGACATTCTCCATATATAGTTATAGATATACATATATAGATATACATATACATGACATACATATGTCTATACATATGTATAGACATATATATGTCATTGGTTTCTGCTTTGGGGGTTGAACATCCTTCTGGGTGTCCGTTGTTAGCCCCTGCACAGCACAGGGAAACTTCTCACTCTGCGCTTCTAAACAGAACCCAGCTTATTGCTATCTCACTTAGTTCTGCAGTGAAGTTTGCTGAAGTTAGTGTTGACAGGGTTTCTGGGTTGGCCCAGGCAGAGGTACACTACTGGGAGGAGAATCCAGTTGAGTTCGGCAGTTGCTTGGAGCTGCCTTTATAGATGGTCAGGAGCTGAACTCGTAATACCAGACTGGATTTCTCCTTGGTATATTTGCTGTGGTCTCCAGTGAGAAAGGCAGCTGAGAGGGTGTGCCTGAAAGACAGTGTGAAACTTCTCACAGTTTCATGGGGCTTCCTATCTCTAATGCTGCACTAATTGTCCCTTATGTGTTCTTCGACATGGCCCTTGGCTCCCACCACTGAATCTCCTACTGACCTTCCCAGACCCAGTTCTGCCTTTTGGTCAACATAATCCGCTTCCTGACTACATGGTCTGTTCTGAACGATGTTCTCTCTCAGATCATTTTCAGGTGTATCATAAAGGTAGATTCAACCTTTGGCAGCTTACCTATACTCTACTGTGTTAAACAAGAATGTGTAATATGACCTGAGGTGCATTTGGACTAGAACTTTACTAACCATTGAATCTCTGAGACTGAGAGCCCTGTGTGATGCTCCACTTTCCCATGAGCTTGCAGTGGCTCAGGGCACAGTCTTGAGTGCCAGGAAGGCATTCTTTCAACTCTGTGATTCTTCCTAAGAAATACCTCAGAACTCACACCTGGATTTATATCCCAACCTTCACCCACCAGCATCAACATCCAACTTAGGAGTCACAAAGCTGGGTCTTGAGCCCACAGTTGACTTCTACCATGTGCCCTGTATCTTCTTATTTACTGTCCTATGTCCAAAGCCAGATGTATGTGTGTGTGTTTTTGGGAGGGAGGGATATTAGCTTTTCTATAATCTTGTATTGAGCATATATTTTTATGAATTCTAATTCTTCCAGACTTGGTGTTTTACTTTTAAAATGCAGCTTGGAATTGAAAAAAATTTTTTATTCCAAGTCTGTGACTGAGACTGTTCAAAGACTCTTTGGCACTAGGCCTTTGTGTTTGAAGAGATTTACAAACTCTATCCAGCAGCTCAAAATAAAAAATATAAATAGTTTTCCTTTGCTACTCCCTCGAAGAGAGTAGTATAAAATCCTGTGCCTGCCCCTGCACTGGAGAAGGACTTGTGCTAAAAGAAAGTGGAAAGGGAGAAGTGGGGTAAATGAAGTGGGAGTGGAAAGTGGGAGGTGGGAGAGAAAAAGTGTCTTATGTCACCAGATGTTATCATGTGTGCACACTAGCACCTGCTTAACCAAACAAAACAAACAAAAAAGGTCTCAGTTTTGCGTTGTCATGAATAAGCTGCAATTCTGTGACTCTCAGGCTGAATGAATTTAATTGATGAATGTACACAAGGCAGGGAGGAGGAGTATGAGTTTCTACTAGGCTTTCTCTTCTATCACTTCTGGTTACTTGAATGCCTCCTTTCTGCTCCTGGTACTACCATGCCAAAGAGCTGCAGCTGAGGAGGTTGAATGAATGGTCCTTGAGTTGAAGCTGAGGCATGCATGCACCCTAGCCGTCATGGGTAAGCTCTTTCCCTGAGCCCTTTGACATCTTTCCCTTATATAGACTCAGAGATGTTGAGTTACTCCCTGGAGAAGCAGCACATGTGGGGAGCTGAGCCACTCCAGCAGGGAAGCTTAGGTTCGGAACTGTATCACTGTGTGAGGAGATTGTGTACCTTGCAAGCAGTGATAAATCCCAACATCCTCAACCTCCACTCTGCTGACTTTCAGTGTGAAGTCTGTGCCTAACCCACTGCCACTGAACCTGTCTGGGAGCTAGAACAGGTTGGAAACACCATAGATCCGGAGCTGTGGAAACTAGCCTGGCTTCTGCAGGTACCAGTGCAAATAGGTGTATTCATCACTATGTAGGAGGCTCTAACTAGACCTGCAGGAGATGGAGGCCGGCTCTCGAGGGGTGACGGGCAGGGAGAGTGGAATCTGGGTCATCACAATAACCCTAATGAATCCTGAAATATTGAGAGAAAAGTACAAGGTTATGTACAAATATGTGTTATTTTCATAATTTCGTAATTTTTTTGTGAATTATTTCAGGCTATATCATTTTTGTGTGATTGTGATTTGGTTTACATCTCTAAATACCTAATTTTTAAAGAATGGATATTTACAAGACACATACGAACTTCTAGGGTTTTCCTACATCATCCACCTCTTTGTGTGTCAGAGTCTTCCCCACAGCACAGGTCCTTGTTCCTTCTGGATTATTCCACACATTCACAGATCTAAACATCACATGCCCCATGCTGGAGGACAGTAACGTGCACATCTGACATGTGCACAGAACACATATGGGAGTCTGTGGGTCCCCCAGAGCTAACCCTCCTACCCCGTTCTCCTTCCTTGTCTCCTTCTTTCCTTATCGGAGACCCAGAGCATCAACAGCCCTAGGAGCTGAGCAGGGAGCCTCACTGTGAGAAGATGAACTGAGGAGTCCTGATCAGTCAAGGCAAGGTTAGAGCTGAGCTTTTATCTCAGACTCACAAGGGAAAGTCCTCCCTAGGGGACAATATGCAAATCCCCTGGTGGGTGCAGCAGTGTGGAAAGAGCCAAGGGGAGGGTGGAGGTCCTCTTTTTTGAGCAAAATGACATCAAGCATTTTCTGTCTTTGGAAGAAAGCACATAGAGATTAAGTCCATGCCCCCTGCAGCAGGGGACAGAGGGATCCCACTGTGAAAGTCTAGATTTACAGTGAGGACACAGTGCATGTGGTCCTTCCGCTCTAAGAAAGCATCACAGATCTGACAATGTAGAGATGTTTGTTTAGGTCAGTCTTTGGGATTGCCACCTTGTTTGGCTCCTTTCTAAGCTAGTCTGAAGACGGAAACAGCTTCCAACCTGTCTAGTACTGATCTTCACATCTTTTTTCCTAATAACAACATGGAGTTGAACTAGTTCAAGAGTTGTCTGGTATCTGCTATTACCAGATAAACTGTTTAAGAATGTTAGGAACAAGTGTTAGAAATGGTCTTTTCCTAAACATAGTGAATTAAACTTCATGACAGCACTCAAGTCAAGAAAACTTGGCAGGGAAAAATACATCTGCCTCTTTAAGCTAGAGAGTGAATAACCTTGTTTAAGGTAGAGGTAACAGGGAAAGGATTTCAGGCCTTAGACAGTGAATATGAAATTTCTTGTAATTAGTTGTTATAAACTGGTGGATATTCTATTCTCTCTGTGTAAATATATATATATTTGTAAAATATATATATAAAATCTTTCTATATAGAGATTATATAGCATATATGTGTATATGTGTATATATATAATTCATATATGTGTGTATATATGTATATACATCTATACTAGATTAATCAAAAGGTTTCTTAAGGAGGTAATTCTCATTAATCAAAAGATTTCTTAAGGAAAGAATTCTCCCAGGACAGTAGGACAGAATGAACAAGGGATTATTTTATATGTTCTTTATGAATGGTAACAGAAAATTATTCCCATACCTTTTCTTTCTTGTCATGTAGTTGGATAGCCACAGTTGTGAGTTCACAGTTGAAAAGGAGATTTCATATGTCAGAACAACAGGAATTGAATCAATTCTTTTAATGTCTTTCCTTGGACTGTCATCAAGGATGGTCACTATGGAAGAGGGGCCTAGGTCAGAACGGTCAAGGCATTAACTTCAGACTCCTTCCCTCCAAAAATGTGAGACCAAAACTTTGTGTTGTTTTTGGTCACCAAGCTTGTGATCCTCTGTTACAACAGCTCTAGGAAAGGTATACACCCGCCATCCAATACAGAAACTTGTCTGGGGGAAATTGAGAAAGAATTCTATGGAGTTTTTTTTTTTTTCTGTTTTACTACTATTCTATTAAATAGTAGTAAATTCATTTCAGCCTGAAAAAGCTACTTTTACACAGTATTTATAGATGCTTGAATTTAAGAGAATATTGCTAGTTTTTGTGAAATTAATATAATACCCTTGAAGTCCCCAGTTCTGATTGATGGTTTTATTTCATGATTTGTTGCCTTGAAATATACAGAAAATACAAATGTTATAGAATTGTCTTTTTAGAAAAGTGCTTTGAAATTTTTCGATATTATCTGTAGATAAAAAGTCTGATAGTCTTATTTTTAAAGAAGAACCTCTGTCTACTATTCATTAAGAAACCATGCTGTGAGCCAGACAACAAAACTGTCCAGCTGCCATCGTCAACCAAGTGACAAAGGACTAATACAGGTTAGTTTTATTGTAGTTTCGCCTTGTTGCGAGAATCTGTTATTTTGGAGTCAGTAAAACTGGAAGCCACTGTGTGATTTTTATCACCTGGGAAGACTGACTTGGTGGAGTCAGTGTTTGCGGGGTGGAGAAAGTGATATGGCTTCACATCCTGTAGATTTTGAGCTAAAGACTTTGTCAACCCAAACACTTCACATGCATAGTGATTTGGACAAACTTGGAAACATTCAGTAGCCTGTTCCCTATCTGGTTCCCAGTGGAGGTTCTTTCTGATTAAATGTGAGAGTTTGTTATTGCATGAAAATTGACATCATCCCAGCCAGCGGAAGTAGCTTTCTTATCTGCAGATTGGTTGGAGTGGAATCCTAAGTCCAGAGGCACCTGTAATGGAGGTTTGTCACTTTCTTTAAGTAACTGTAATTTGCAACCCACCACTAGAGAATAAATACACAGATTGGGCCGGGTGCAGTGGCTCACGCCTGTAATCCCAGCACTTTGGGAGGCTGAGGTGGATGGACCATGAGGTCGGGAGATCGAGACCATCCTGGCTAACACAGTGAAACCTCGTCTCTGCTAAAAAATACACACACACACACACACACACACACACAAAGCTGGGCATGGTGGCGGGTGCCTGTATTCCCAGCTACTCGGGAGGTTGAAGCCGGAGAATGGCATGACCCCTGGAGGTGGAGCTTGCAGTGAGCCGAGATCGTGCCACTGCACTCCAGCCTGGGCGACAGAGCGATATTCCGTCTCAAAAAAACAAAACAAAACAAAACACCAACCAAACAAAAAAATAACAAGAATAAATACACAGATTAATATCCTAGTTAACAGAGAGCTCAGGAAAAGCTCGGTGAATGTGTTTATTCTCTGAGTGTATACGTCCTCTCTAAACAACATGAGAAGCAGGTATGTTCACTTTCCTGACTTTTCTGGATCCTCGAGACTTTGCCCTCCATCAGCCGAATCAGAGTGAGTAATAGTAAATAAAATGAAAGGAAATGAATTTCGAGCTCATAGGAACAGTCACAAAGTAAAATTATAAAATCCAACAAAAATCTGGAGAATATGACAACTTGTTAGAAACTTACTTGGGCAGATCTTACTCATCTTTAGTGTCCTCGTATCCAGAAATTAGGAACCTCCTCAGCCCAGACAGTTGGACTATGTCATATTATGGTATCCTAGCAGATGTAGGTAAAATTGGAAACAGATTATAAGAATTCATTTAAATATTCTATATGAGAAAAGTTTCCCTAAATTATCCATTTATGGAAAAATAAAAGGGGAAACATGCTGTTATAAGGAGAAATTAAAACTCATGTTTGGTGGTCAATAATGTTCTGACTGAATGCTAAAGTTTTAAGATAAGTTAAATAATTTTATTTGGATCCAAACTAGCCTTCGATGTCAATTAAATCCAGTTGGTTGAAGAGATTCTTGTTTTCCCTTTTTCGCTTTTTGTGCTTTGCACAAAATGGCAAGTTAGTTACTTATTTCCTTAAATTTGCTTTCATGATCCCAAATATGAAATCTAGGCAGCCTTTGCTCTTTGTTATTTCTGTTGTTTCTCCTTCATGCTCCAATTGTTGTATCGTGCTTCAAAACGAATAATTTCTGACTTCGTGGTCTATTGGCCCTTAGAAAATTATTTGTAAAGTTTCTTGAAAATTTAACATGGTCGTGCCCTCCTCCAGAGGACATTTCATTTGGATGCCACACCAGAAAAGTTATCTTAAAGCAATTTCAAGACTGGAGAGTTCTAGACCCTTCTTGGACATGCATTCTTGGAGTGAAAATCTTTGGAAGTGTTGATTTGCAGTCATTACTTTCTAAGGAAATTGTGTTTGGTTTTTTCTCTCCGTTTCCCAATTAACTTGGAACCCTCTTTTCAGTTACTAGCAGTTGTGGAAAGCAGACTTTCCAGTTTCTCTTTGGTTCACTCTTACTTTAAGATTAGAGCCCCTCTTGCCCCTAGCTTAAATTAGGGTTGCACAAGATTTTCCACATGAGTGAATTCTGGGCCTGTGTTCTGTTGCTCTGGCCCAGACATAGCCCTGAAGCCAGATCAGATTGTTGGTCTGAGTAAGGTAGCCTATCGTTTCTGCAAACTCAACCTATTTAAATATATTCCTGACTTAAAACCAAAGGTCTTCACTAGATCATTTAGTGGTGTGTAGTAAGCTTCTGAATTTATCTTAGAGTTTCTCAAATTATTTAACTCATCTGGTTTCAGGGCTATGTCTCAAATTATTTAACTGATCTGAAAACTTTAGCATTCATCCAGAAACATTATTGACAACCAAATATGTCTTTAATTTCTCCATATAATCAATATGCTTTCCCCTTTTATTTTTCCTTAGCACCATTTGCATTGTTCTTAAGTACCTTCAGGATACAAGTGGCTTTAGAGATGAAATATTTTTTTGGTTACAGATTTTATAAAAATTTGAGCCAAAAGTTGTCATTTTATTTTTGTCTTTCCCTTTCTGTCCCTTTTTTTTCCCTTCCTTCTTTCCTTCCTTCCTTCCTTCCTTCCTTCCTTCCTTCCTTCCTTCCTTCTTTCCTCCCTCCCTTCCTTCCTCCCTCCCTTCCTTCCTTCCTCCCTCCCTCCCTCCCTCTCTTCCTCCCTTCCTTCCTTTGTTGTTTTGTTTTCTTCTTAGCATGTTTTGTTATTTCACTAGAATTGTTGATCTGAGGAAGGTAGTGTATTCTTTCTGGAAACTCAACCTATTTAAATATACTCCTGATTTAAAGGAGTCTTCATTAGATTACTTAGTGGTGTGTACTAAGCTTCTAAATTTATCATAGTTTCTAAGTTGAATTTTGTGTCTTTTCTAGTCACACAATTACATTTTCTGTGATGATATTTTTGGGTCTTGATTTATGTTGGAGACTTTCACAGCCCATTGCCCATGCAATTTGCTTCCAAACTCTCTGATTGGTTTGCACAGGACCCTCCAGACCCAGGTTAGTTGACCAAATTTTGTAAGCGGGAACTCTGAAATATGAACTAAGCTGCATCACACAGGCAGCGGCAGCAAAAT